TATTTTCCTTGTCCACATCTGACATGGATATTGAGATTATACCTTCCTTAGCAATTTTAAGACTTTCACACCCACTACTTGCCTATAGATGGTTGAGTCTAGAGGTTAAGTCTTGAGCAGAGACAGTCTCTTTTAAATCCAGATGGATATTTCTCTTGACTGCTAAGTTCTCTCCAAAAACTTTATTTTCTTTCAATTAGCTACAGATACCAACAACTGCCTCCAGTGTTCTTTTCTAGATGTACTTCTTGGACTGTCTCCATTTCTTTATTTTGTTTCTGTGTCTTTTTCTTTTAATTTCAAGTATCTTCAGCTTGTTAGGCTTCAGTAGGAGAACTATAACCTTTGTCTCTTTTTCTTGAGCTATTCTTTCTCTTTTTTTTGTCTCTTTGAGACAAGGTCTTGCTACGCAGTTCAGGCTGGCCTTGAGCTCACTTTGTAGCCCAGGTTGGTCTCGAACTTGCAACCATTGTCCTGCCTCAGCCTCCCAAGTGCTGGGATTACAAGCTTGCGCCACCATACCTGGCAAGCTATTCTTTCTAAATGAAAACATTTAGATCTTTGTCAGATCATTACCCTGACATACATTAATCCATTCAGAGGTATGAATAGAAGGTTATAGTCATAACTTTAACTTGATGCTTACTGCAAGGCTGAGTTTTACTTGGCTTTTGTTTGGCAAAAACCCTTTTTTACATCTCTCTTTTGAAGTTTAAAGATCAGTTTAGCTTTTCCAACTCTGCAGAGTACTCTATTTCTGGAATCTCTCTATTCCCTTTCACTTTTGCTTGTGAATTGCTTGATGAATTTAAACACTCACACTTTTTGTATACTTTGCCAAATGCAGCCAACAATGCTCAGCATACAGTGTTATTTTCCAACTGCTTCTCTGGAGCTGTAGGTATATTAGGTGTATTATCTCTCTTCCAAGTTATCACAGGTGTCAGTTTTGCCAAATATTTTACCAATTCACAACAGAATTGTGACCCCTCTTGCTTCCTGTAACAGCTTCCTTGCCTGACCACTAAGCCAATGCCAGAATTTTAGGTTTCTATTTTGGGAGCATCCTTCTTTAGACAGTAATGTCTATACCAACCATCTAGGTTAAGTCATGCGGCAGCAGTCTTAAAAATCCAGCTCTTGGTGGTTTATAATATAAAAGCTATAGGTCTTGCTGTTGCTCTACCCCCACATGGGTCTCTGATCACTGTTGATACCCTCAGGGATCAGGCTGAAGGAGTCTCTGCCTCAGTGTCATCCATGATCTTCCAAGCCAAGAGAAAAGATGGCAGTCCTTAAAGATAAGTGTGCACAGCAAGGAGATAGCTCATTTCTGCTCATATTTCACTGGCCCAAACGAGTTACATGGCCATGCCTAACTCTAGAGGGAGAGCTGAGGAGGTGTAATTCTGTTATGTGCCTGGAAGGAGGTGAACCAGAGTACTTAGGAGCAGCTCTAATGCTTCCCTCCATGGCAACACCCTGGCCCAAGGAAATGATTGCTGGCAGTTGTGGAGCTTTTTGGGATTGTGGCACGCTGCCTTCTGTGTGCGAGACCAGCCTTGCCCGCATTGTTGCAGGCAGTAAACACCACGCCTTTCTCCATATGGCTTTCATTACAACTTCATTTCATTAGGAACCCAGTGGGGGGGCTCTGTAGTATTACAGAATACGGGGAAGGAGACCCACCAAGTTGCTTACAAACTCAGTAACCCTTTTCTCCAGGATTCATCAAGGAAAAAGAAACCCATAGGGTGACCTGATTTTCCTTTCTTTCCCCAAGACTTTGGACAAGAAATATCACTTGAAATTTTGTGATAATGGAGAAAAAAAAATGTTAAAGAATAAAGACATCAGAGGATTCTTCTTTTGGTAGCATCAACAATGATAATATTGAGAGTGTTACCTTCTGTTTCTGGAAAAATCATTCTTGTTAAATTGAACTAAGAGAACAGGTAGCAGAGGTTACACTGGAATTTAGGTGAGTGATTTTCTCGTTAGGCTCAGAATAACCCAAGAGGACAGTGAAGTCTTAGGGAAATTAGCTGTTAAACACATTTCCCACTTTTGTATGGTAGAGATATTCATATGGGTTGTGAAGAGAAGTCTGTGCTTCTTCAGCTGAAGAACTCGTAAGAGGTACCTAGATTCTTGGGTTGGTAATCATATCTCAGTTAGTGCGAAGTAGTCCTTGGGAGGAAAAGCCACATAGGAGATGCTTTGGGGTAAGAGAAAGCCATGTTTGACTTTGTGGATAATTATGAGTTCAAATATCAGTTCCATAATACGCCTGGCTGTGTGACCTTGGGGAAATCCTCACTGTAATACGGTAGAAACAATACCCTCTTGCATATAGGCATGAAGAATACATGAGATAGTGAAGTAGCCAGCACACAGTAGGCATTCTGTAAATGCTGCTATCTGACCTGCTCCACCCCTCAGGAAAAGTCTGTTGAGAGAGGAAGTGGACAGTCTCACCAGGGATGGATCGCGGGGTCTAAAACATTCAGAAACCGCTTCAGTGAAAATATACCAAGGACACTGCCAGAGAATTTCCAAATTGTCCTTGCAGTCAAATGATTCCGTCTTACATCAGATTTTTAAGACTCCTCTCCCCCACTGTTCTCATTTGCTCTTTTGTTTTCTGATGACCCTTTGTGTTTTTAATGGACGGTTTCAGTTTCTGGATTATTATTCTCTGTCTCTCTCTGTCTCTCTCTCTGTCTCTCTCTCTCTCTCTCTCTGTCTGTCTGTCTCTGTCTGTCTCTGTCTCTCCTTGTTATCCTTTTCTTCATGTTGTTCCACTGTTCTGTTGCCGTCAACCTATATCCATATTTCTCTCTCCCGCTCCATTTCATCTTTCATCTTCTATAAATTGTTCAGCACAGGTGACCTGCAGGTGGGTCTATAAGACTGTCCTGACTATGTCTTTCACACCCCCGGGTCTGTTCTTTCTGTAGCTCTTCTGGTGAGATCCCTGACCCTAGCTCGGAGCTCTTCCTCTGCACCACCAACTGCTTTCCTTGGGCCATCACAATCTACTTTTCCTACTAAAATCTGTTACTAGAAATGGATCTGATCAACTCAAGAGATAAATGTAAATGACTGATTGAGTCTGGTGCTTTACTTTTCTCAAGAATGTAAGTACAAGGCCTTTAGCTCAAGAATACATCTCTAGAAAAAATATCAGGTAATAGAAAATGGCAGCATATTTTCTTTTGGGCAGGAGACTTTCCATGTTATCTATGCCTATTTGTAGCACTTGTTCTGCTTTGATATTTCAGAATGAAATAAATAGATGCAGATAAAGCTACAGTTAGACTTAGCCACCTTGTGGTATGTGAGAGCGTTTCACTCTCATCGATTTGGGGCTAAAATCTAATTCCAAAGGGATTGTGTGCAGCAGATGCAACAATTAATTTCAGGTAAATCAGTTCAATCTGGCTTTTTCATTCTTTCTGTATTTGATCAAATTTAATGTAATTTGCAAGGCGATATGAGCTCCATTATATGTGTTTGCAACCAGCATGAATCAATCTAACCAAAGGGCATTATTGCACCCTCACAGTGCCCTGGCAGCTTGTGGGGGATTGCCAAGTGTCAGACAGGCCGTTCTGTTCACAGTCAGTCCCACGCTTAAGATCTGTGTGCGTTAGAAGGGCCTATAAAAATATTCGACTCCTGGAAATTGTATTTGTTCTCTAATAGAAAATCTAAAAGAGATTGGGCTGAATCTCTACAAATCAAAACATTTAATCATCTGACTACTGCCCAATTATTATGTCGTTATATATACATTATACTGTATTTAGTATGGGAGGTAAATTTAATATGTTGATATGATGTGGGATTTGATCTTCCACAAGTAGAACAGCTCTGAGTGTCAGAGAATTGCAAATCTGTGTCAGCGTGGAAAAACAGGAAACTGTTTCTCCAGGGGAACAGGAGTCTGTACGCACAAAACGGAGGTCCTAGTTTAGGGAAGAGACGTCCATCACAGTTGTACCCGTCCAGATACATCAGGATGAAGCAACTGTGCAGACACTCAAAAATGGGGACACTATTTTTTTAAACCAGAAATCCTTCCTGAAAGCAATTATTATACGTAGGTAGGAGAATGCTATGGACTGAATCATGTTGCCCCAAATTCACCAGGCCGTAAACTTCTACATGACTATATTGGAGACAGGGCCTTTAAGGAGGTGATTAAGGTTAAATGAGTTCATAAGCCTAAAACCTTCACTCTTTAGACCTGATGTCCTTTTAAGAGACATAAGAAGCCGGGTGTAGTCGCACGTGCCTGTAATCCAAGCACTCAGGAGGCTGAGGCAGGAGGATCGCTGTGAGTTCAAGGCCAGCCTGGGCTACAGAGTGAGTTCAAGGCCAGCCTGGGCTACATAGTTCAAGGCCAACCTGGACTACATGGTGAGACCTTGTCTCAAAAAGACACAAGATCCCCTCCATCCCCACCCCAGGGTGTATGTGATGGTGGTGGGATATGTCCACAACAAGAAGGCTTCTGGCTACAAGCCAGGAAGCAGGTTCTCAGGAGGAACCAAATTTGCCAGTGTCTTGGACTTGCAGCATCTGGAGCTGTGAGAAAATACCTTTCTGTTGTTGAAGCCAGCATTTGATGCTATTTAGCTCTGGAAGTCTCTGCAGGCTATAACAGAGAATATTCATTGATAAACAGTTCGGGGTAGACTCAGGCTACGCTTCAGGATCAAGAGCTGGTCCTTATAATACCTCCTAAGTCTGAAGAGCAGCATTTGCTCTACAAGGTGGTTGTGCAAGTTTGGGGTTTGAATTGAACTTCCCAGGGCCAGGTGCTGTTCCCCTGTGGAAATGGCTTTCTGCCCTTCCCCAAGAAGTGCCCACTCTTAATCTGAGTTATTCTCATCCTTCAAAGAATATCTGCTTGAAAGGAGAGCAAATAATTAGCTGCCTAGGTCACCCACACCCTGTTTGGTGCAGCCGTGGTGAGCTGTAACAGTTCTTACCTCAAGGTCATAACCAATGCCATGTGCCTTACACATCTGGAGGAAAACATAGTGGAAAACCAGCGAGAGATTGTTATGCTTCAGCTGGGTGGTCATCACCGCGTAGCGACTGGTTTCTTGTGACTGAAAAGGCCACAGCTGAAAGTTAGACCCCTCAAAAAACATTTAAATAAACTTCTAAATTTAGAATAATTGCAGATTAATGGAAATGCTGCAGAGATAATACAAAGTTCCTATATCCCCCACACCTAGTTGCGCTATTATTAACATCTGACATTGCCCTGGAACATGTATCATAACGGAGGAACCAAACTGTCACCTTCCTATTAAGCTCACACTTTATTTGGATTTTAGTGGTTTTTCTCTAATTCCATTTTTGTGTTTCAGTATCCCATTTAAAATACCATATTATATTTTGTCATTTCCTTAGGTGCTTCTGAGCTGTGACAGTTTCTCAGACTTCCATGTTTTTGATCAACTTGACACTTTTGAGGAGTACTGACCAGGTATTCTGTAAAATGTCCCTCGATTTGGATTGTTCTTACGTTTGTCTCTTGATTTGATGGGAGAAATGTGTTTTGGAGAGGAAGAACACACAGGTAAACTGCAATTTTTATTACTTCATAGCAAGGGTCCATGCTACTGTAGTTTGGGCACTGGAGGCCCCTGAATGTCCATGTGTTAAAGGCTTGGTCCCTGGGGTGGCGCTATTGGGAAGTGGAGGAGACTTTAGCAGGCGGGGCCTCAAGGGAGGCCCTCGGGTCATTAAGGATGAGCTAGCAAAAGGGAGCCCGAGGACTTGATCTCTTCCTGGTCTTTAGTTTTGCTTGCTGGCTCTTGATGTAAGTACTTCTGAGCCATCACATGCCCCCTTTTGTTGCCACCCAGCACCCCCACCAGAGGTCCAAAGCAACATGGCCACTCAGTCAGGCTCTGGAACCTCCAAAACTGTCAACTAAATAAACTGCTATTTTTTTCTTCCAAGTTAGTTATCCAAGGAGTTTTGTTATAGAAACAGAAAGCTAATTAATACACATCCTGTCATACTAATAATATGTGTGACTTGATGATGTTAACTTTTATTACCTGGTTAGGATAGCTTCTGCCACTTCAGCAAAAATTTCACAGGTTTCTCCGCTGTAAAGAGACTTTCCCCTTTTCCCACACTACACTTTTTGGAATCAGATCTCAAAACCTAGCCTATGTCATTGATGTGGCCAGTATTACAATTTTGATACTGTTTTCTTGGGGGAACTGCTGTTCCTTAACTGCTATTAGTGCAGTCTATCCCAAAGAAACTAGTTCCAGAAGGCCCAAAGAGTTTTCCTTCCTTCCTTCCTAAGAACATTTAACATTTAATGTGTACGGAGTAAAGTATTGGATCCTGGCAGTTTTGTAGCATGCCATTTGTGGGATGTGATATTTGCTTTTGACAGCTGTTTCCCCTGCAATAACTGGAAATTTGAAGAACTGCACATAGGGCCATGACCAGTCTGAGAACACAGAAGATAAAGGTTCCTGGCCCAGGTTTGGGGGCCTCTCAGATGCCCGGCAACCAGGTTTCTGGACTTGCACAGTCACTTAGAACAGAAGGCAAAGGAAATTGCTATAGTTAGGGTTTACAAGGGAATAGATTTAATACAGGACACATAATTTATAGGATTATTTTATAATATTCTCCCAAAGAGTAAAGTGCAGAAGAGTGCAGGAAATCTGTCCACACACTAGAGACCCAAAGAATCCAGCTGAGGGCCTGGATCCCATGGCAGTGTCCTGCACGAGTCTGCCTGGAGGCTCAGAGCCCACAACAATGCCTTATGCAAGTCTGTACCAAGGACCTGCGCTGGGAAGGCCCACAGGTCAGTGGTAGAAGCTAGAAAGTCTGCACCACTGGGATGAAGGATCTGTGCCAGCAGGCTGGGGATCTGCACTGGAGCCAGGAAGCGACGCTCAAGATAAGGACCAGAGCTCCCCCGAAGAGAACCACAGGCATCTTCAGTGACAGCGAGGTCCTGAGCTCCTCCAGTGATGAGAACAGCGGAGTTCATATCAGGAAAACCAGTGCAACAAGCTTCTCCAGGAGAATCAACAGCACACCATCTTCTCCAGTTCTCTCTTTATGCTGCTGGCAACAGTCCTCAGGTGGGCCTTCCACACCCGGCACCACGCTGATTCACTTCAGCTGGGCGTCACAAATTGCCCATTAGGTAATCCACCACAGAGATGCTGCTGGTCCAAAGCTGGTTCTGGAGGATCCTAGCAACCTGACGCTCACCTGTAGTCATACTTCAGGACCCATTATTGTCATTATTATTATTATTATCATCATCATTATTGATAACGCAGAGAACTAAGGCTGACTGAGCGCCCAGCAGAGACCCCCTGCCCCGTATCCCACACAAACATCCTGGTCATATTTGGAGGCAGGCTTTCCCTACGTGCTCTGTCTTTTCCTTCAGCCTTTATATTAAGTGCTGTGTCTGAGGGTCCCATCATCAGTACCGTTGCTAAGGCTGCTCTTCCCACACATAAGCAGAGTCTATAGCAATGCTCGGCTCCTGTCGGCTAACACATCAATATACTCCATCAGTATTGTTCCTTCTGTAGGTATTTGTTTCTATTTTTATTGTTTTATTTTTTAAATAGTTATTTTTTAACTACTATGTAGTTCAAGATGGCCTTGAGCTTCCTATGTAGCCCAGGCTGGCCTTGAACTCATGGTGATCCTCCTGCCTCAGTCTCTTGAGTGCTGGGATTACAGCAATACCACGTATAGCTGTTTTTATGTTTAACTGATACAAAAAAAAAAAAGCTGTACATAGTAGCAGGCACCATGTAATGTTTGATACATTTGCATATTACATAATGTTTTAATCAGGTTAAGCATATTATGTCCTCAACCATTTATCATTTTTGTGGTAAAAACCATCAAAATCCTTTCTTCTAGTTTTTTTTTTTGAAATGCATAGTATATAACTGTTACGTCTAATCTAATCACCCCATGCTCCTCTCTAACTGTCACTTAACACCTATCAATCAACCTTTGTCTGTCTACCGCCACTCCTGGTTTTTTTTTTAACAAAGAAAATCTCATTGACCGCCCCCCCCCCATGTCTAATAGCTACACATTGTTATCACTCTGATAATGGTGAGTTGTTCCCCTGGCTCTTCTCTTGGGTAACTGGGAATATTCTAGAGGCAGGCACTGCTTGGTTTCTGAATCTGTGGGTTGAGCTGAGTGTGCACACAGGAAAGGCCGTTAGTGTTTAATGAATGAGAGAAAGAATGAATACATGCAATAGGTTAGGTGGGAAGCATTTCCCTCTGATTTAACAGACTCTTCAAAACATGTAGCTAAAGGATCTGCCAGCCAGTATGGGTGCTTTGAAATTGAAGTAGGGGATTTACAGAATAGAGACAGTCATGCCACCCCCTAAAGAATGAACTCAGGACAGTCTCTTCTGTTGCCCCCTGCCTCAGGACAGTGTAGCCCTGGTGGGCTAAGCAGGAATTACTGAGGAGGTGCAAACGCCTGCAAAGAGAAACTCTATCAGCTGATTGGGCAGTCTGAAGCATCATGGCCACCAGCTCTGTATGCCTTGTCATGCCAGCCTGTGCCAGGCTCCTGCTTTTTCAGTGAAGACCCAGAAATCTGAGCGTCTGCACATGGAAGTGAACTGTAAATACTCTGGAATTCCATTGTGGTTACTGAGCATGTAATTGCGTGGTAATTGCCATGAATTCACGAGATAATTCCAAGGTTATTTTTGTCTTCTAAACTTGTCTTATGCTGCCATAGTACATAAACAAACAAAACCAGGATCAGGCCCCAGTTAGCAAGAGAGGCAAGAAGGCACCTGGTAGCAGGGTCCTGCTCAGTGCTGTGTAGTTTGGGCTCTGCACAACCAAAGAATTCACTGTCCAGTGGTAATTGACAACCGGACATGTAAGAAGAGGTTGCCCTGAGGTCCCTTTCTGTCTGTGGATGCAGACCTGAGCTCGTAATTCACAAAGAATCTGAAAGACAGCTCGGGATATTTGGCGTATCTCTGAGTTGTTGCTTCTTTTCCGTTAGCATCACCATCATAGTCCAGACCTTTATTGCCTAGGGATGAAGGTGTGAGAATTCTATAGTAAAAGTACATGGAATCTGGAAGGCTGAGGTTCAAAACCTGGCAAGGTTTTACCATCTGTGTCATCTGTGTGATCTTTGACTTCTCTGACTTCTGATGACTAAAGAAGCATAACCGTCACTGGAACCTAAGAGATGGTAGCTACTGTTTTCTCTTGCTGGTTCTGTGAAAGGGTTTTGGGCCCATAACAAAGGTAATTTCTCGGGTTGTGCTTCCTCTGCTGGCACCCTTGTCTTCCGGGATTCTGAGCATTATCACCACATAGATCACTTCTCTCACACTCAGGATGGGCCGTGTCATTTTATTTCTCAGAAATCCTCGGTGTCTCCTCATGTTCAAGATGCAATCTGGAGGCATCTTGATGGGCAGACCCCCAAACTGACTCCCTCTTCTCCTTTCCCTCCCTTCCCTGACTCTACACTCGGTTTGCTGCTGCCTGCTAGCAGACCACAGGCTCTCTGCAGACTCTGCCTCATTTGCCAGGAGAGCAACTGAAGACAGCAGGGTGGGGCCTGTCACTCAAGTGGCACCTACAGGAGGCTGTGTGGCTTTCCCCTGTGTATCTTTTTTTATATACCAGGAATCGAACTCAGGACCCTGTGCTTGCCAGGCAGGCACTGTGCCACTGAGCTACATCCCTGGCCCTGTATCTGTTTTAATATCAGCACTGTTTCTGTGTCTCCTTTTCAACTCTAGTGCTTGGCAACATTCCTGGCATAAAATAAGTGCTTAATAGATATGTTACTACAATGCTAATAAAGATAAACAAATAAAATACAACTACTTTTTAAAAAAACTTAGCCAACTCCACAGTGTTTAGAAAACCAACAAAAGAAACCTGTTGAATACACCTGGTAGTACAAGTGACAGGAGTATCAGCACAAGGACTGGGTGAGCGTGTGGAGTCTTAAGAAGAGAGTCTGCCATGAAATAAGCACTCAGTAAGTGTTAGCACTGATTGCTTATTACACTCAATAATTTCACAGATCA